CGGCTGCTGCCCCCGCGACCCGACCCCGGATAAGCGGAGGAGAATGGATGGATGGATGGAAGTTGATGACCATAAAAAGAGAAAGAAAACGCATCAGCGAACAGCGGAGCTGGTCCTTTTGATTTAACCGATTATTTTTTATTGCCCTGGGAAACCACAGTGCATTCGATGACTATATTTCCATTTTTCGACTTCAACAAGAATACGTTTTTCTTCTGCTTATGTTCTTCTTCATCTTTTCCTCTGCCTGTTTTTATTATTCCTATCTTGACACATGCTCATGGTCCCGTGACCTTGTGGTCGATGAATGAAAAATGAGAAATGTTTTGGGACAAAATGATGGCTGTTCGGTATTGAAAATGGGATTCTTCAATTCTAAGCCATTTGTGAGACCAGCTAAAGCTAGATGCTTGATTGAAACCGGGTCATCAGCAGGACAATGATCCCAAACACGGCAGCGACTCTACGATAGAAATCACCGAACGAGAAAGGAATGCAAAGTTAGCGTCTGAAAGGGAGAAGAATCTAGGTGTTGCTGTAACCCAGTAATAACGGAATGCCTTTAAATTGAGACGAATCAAAGCAAGATGAAAATAGATTTTTCACACACTGCTTTTTTGCAATATCACTTTAGGTTTTTAGGAATGGATTATGGCTCAGGAGGCAATGCCACGTGTAATTTCTCTTCTAATCTTTCTTTAACTTAGTTTTAAATCCCAATAAGGACCGGGGTAGTAACTGAAAAGGGACTAATATTAATTGTGATACCTAACACACATGCAAACACAGACACACACACACTATAACAAGTTTAACATTTAAGAACACTTTTGAAACTCGCTTAACTTCACTCAAGTCAAAACTAAACAGGAGAGAAGTTAAGAGTCCCAGTGTCTGGGCACCTTTTTTTTATTTTATTGCTTTCTGCTGGTAAAAAAAGGTTTTGTGCCTCAAACCTGTAATTGGGGGGCCAAATTGAGTGGACATACACCTAATTTGACAGCTGTCAGTCTGCCAAGAAATGCCAATCTGTTCTCCGACAGATTTTGCCCCCCCCACCCACCAATCATGCCCGACCTTTGTTGTTTTTTTTCTTCCCTTTCCTGCATCCCGTGTGTCGGGTTTTCGGCAGTGGGGCTGGAGTGACACGCGTGTGGGGATAAGCTAGGGCCCGGGACTGGTCCATGCGTTATATACAGTACCTGTGGATCGTAAATCCAGATGATGGACGACGTCAGAAACCCCTTAAAGCTCCGCTCGAATTGAGTTGCACAGCATCCGTGGCTAC